CCGCCCCTGCTTCCCCCCACCTCCCCCGCCTCCCCCGCCTCCCCCTGCACTCCCCATACTCCTCTCTCCCCTCTACTCCCAATACCCCCCACCCTTCCCCGTCCTGTTTCTGGAAGCCTGTTAAGTCCCAGGGACTGAGTCCTACCCTCAAACACCCACCAGGGGTCGCCCCCCCTCCCGAGGGCAGGGAGGCCCAGTGCCCCAGAGACGCCCTGGGGGGTGCGGAGGCGGCGCCTGGGACAAGGGAGCCCATCACCACCGCCGGGCTGCCCAGCCACACGCCGGGTGCTGCTGCTGGCCTCCTGACAGCCGCTGTCCGCCCGGTGCGTGTGGGCGTGCACACGCCCTTGCACACGCGCCCGCCTGTACACGCTCCCGCACACACACACCCCTGCACACGCTCCCGCCCGCACACGTGCCTGCACACAGGCCCGTACACACACACTCCCGCGTGCACACACGCGCGCGCCCGCACACGCTCCCACACACACACGCCCGCACACGCCTGCACACGCTCCCGCCCGCACACACGCACACACACACACACGGCCGCGTGCACACACACGCCTGCACGCACACGCCTGCACACGTGCCCGCACACACTCCTGCACACATGCCCGCACACACAGTCCCGCACCCACACACACTCCTACACACACGCCCGCACACTTAGGTGGGAAACTCCCTTAAAATAACCCAATATCTGGGGCGCCTGGGTGGCTCAGTTGGTTAAGCATCCAACTTCAGCTCAGGCCATGATCTCACAGTTCGTGGGTTCGAGCCCCGCGTTGCGCTCTGTGCTGACAGCTCAGAGCCTGGAGTCTGTTTCACATTCTGTGTCTCCCTCTCTCTCTGCCCCTCCCCTGCTCACGCACACACACACACACACACTCTTTCTCTCAAAAATAAACATTAAAGAATTTTTAAAGAATTCAACACCCTTTTTACTCATTCTCATATACCAAACTGCCCTCTGACCTGCACATCAGTTTACAATTATTTTACCCATCCGCAAAAAGCCCACACCACTCGTGAGAGGTCCTGTTGTATTATTTCAGTGATTGCAGATCACTAGATGTTAAGAAAAAAAAATCTGCAAAACACAGCATCCAAAACGTGAGACCTTACGGTGAAACGGAATCTGATCATTTCCCTCCGTGGTCAGAGGCCCTGGTGTGCGTGCGTTTTCCACGTCCGTCTCTGCACTTCCACTTGCAGCTGATTCTTCTTACCTGACTAGTCTGGTTGTGTTTTCTTTTCTTTTTCTTTTTTTTTTTTAACCTGAGAATAAGTTTCAAAAGAAAGCTTCTGAACCGTCGACTGAGGTCAGAATCTTGGAGCTCGGCGGAAGAACCGTGGCCAGGCTGGCGGGACCGGAGCATCCCGCGCCAGGACCCGGAGCCCAGCGGGGAGACAAAGGTCTCTGTGTGCGGCTGCCCGGCCCCAGCGCGGACGGATGGCAGTGTGCGCTGGCCGGGGAGGCAGAGGTCGAGTGAGGCGATGACACAGAATGGCCTCGGAATGGGGCTGAAGCCCTCGGTGTGGGGAGAGAGGCCGGAATCCACTAGATTCTCCGCCGGGAGAACGGAGGCTCTGATGCAGAGAAGACCTCCCTGCCAGGTCCCCAGGGACCGGGCCACGGCGCGTGCCTGCTTCTCACAGTCCGTGCCCCCATGGACACTGTCATTAGGCTGGCAGCCCGAGGGGTCCCGCTGCGGGGGCCCAGATGACTTCTCACGTGTCCAGGGGCCAAGTGCACGGGCTCCAGCCGGTGACGTCTCCCGTCCTTGCCCACGGCGACTCTTCCTCCGTCCCCGGCCCTTCTTGCTGGGCCCAGCCTCAGCTGTTTCCGGGATGGACGTCGGGTGGGTGCAGGAAGCCCAGCAGGCAGGTGGGACGCTGCTGCGCACAACCCCAGAGGCTAGGAAGTCCGGGCACAGAAGGGAAATCCTGCCCGCAGTGTAGGTCGCACTAGCTGAGCGTCCTTGCCCCCACTCACGCCTGCTTTGGGGAGGACGCTAATAGAAGCGGGTCCACGTCTTACTGCTGCTGGACGACGCGACAAGCTAAAATCAACGGGGCAGGTTTGCATGCAGAGGACAGAGAAGCGGACGGGCGTCCTCGGGGCACTGGGGTCGCAGCCCTGGTTCCGCCTGCCGCTCGCGGAGGCCAGGGCCGCGGACTTGACCCTGGCTGGCGGCCGCTTAACAGGTGCGCTCGATTGTAGGAGAAGCTTCTCCCTGTTGCAGGGCAGCAGGGACCTCTTTAAACAAAGAGACAATAAAATAAAGAATTAAAGATTCTAAACTAATGCCAGTTTTATCATAAATCTCTATGATAAAAGAGTTAAAACTAGATGTTTTCGTCGAAAGAAGAGGCTCTGGAATTTCTTTTATTGGCATTAAAAGCAGCCGGCAATGGGCCTGTAAAGCTCAGTTTAAGGGCTAATATTGCAAAAAGAATGAACATAATTCTACTTAATAATAGCAGAGGAGGGAGGCCTTTTTATCATTTTTGTGTGTGAGACACGGGGCAGGAGCCCTCACGTTCTGTTTGTTCGGTGAGGAGCCCCCTATCAGTGAGCTGCCCGCAGGTGTTCTGAGCAGATGAGAGCTCGCCAGGCGGGCGGGGCCGGGGCGGCGGGCAAGTCCCAGGAAGCAGTACTTCTGAGTCAGGATGTGATAAGCACGGAACGGCAGACGCACGGAGAAGGCAGAGGACTTCTCGCCAAAGCCGTCCCACGGGACTTCGCCGGGAGGAACTGCGTCCGGGACAAGGGCCGAGCTGGGTCTGCAGGTAAGACCTCTTTCTCCACGCTCTGGGGCCGCCGGTAGCAATTTTCCATTTCAGCCCTCCCTAAGAAGGCAGAGATGAGGCTGCGTAAGCCCTGCAGTTCTGCGGGAACGGCCACTTTCCCCACCCCACCCTGCCTTCAGGTCCTCCTCTACCCAATGAGGAAGATGGGTTGTGGGAGCCTAAAGCCCCTTCCACTCTCTAGGAGTTTCTGGGAGAACACGGTTCCCCCGGCAGATCAGAAGGTGTCCTAAAATATAAGCAGGAGGTGTGGGTCCCTTACGGTCAGGCTCAGCTCATATGACAGAAAACTCAAGCTCTGTGCAGCAGATCCACAGAGATCTCGGGGAGCCCAGCCTCTGCTGCGGCTCCCTCTGCCGTCCTCTGTGATGATCTGAGAGTGCCTCATGCTCCGTGGTGGTGACTCGGATCCTGCCATCACATCTGCACTCCAGGCAGCCAGAAGAGGGAGAAGGCTGGTAGTCTGACTCTTTTTCAGCAGTCTTTCTGGAAGTCCTCCTCACCAAGTCCCCTGTCATCTCCTGGGCCGATCTACAAAGAGGCCTGGGAAGTGCAGTCTTTTGCTCAGTCCGCGGGGTTAGTTAGAGGAGAGAACGGGGACTGAATTAGCTGCATCCACTTTTGAGCTGCACCTTGAGGGACGGGCGGGAAGTACCTGGGTGCTCAGGGAGCGTATCATGAGCGTGGACCTGAGACAGAAGCCGCTGGGCTCGACCTGTGGGATCCTGAGGATTTGGCCTGTGCCTGTGAGCGTTTTCTTCTCTTTCCTGAATTTGGAAGATTCGTATGTCACCTCTACATAATCATCAGACATTTTTTTCTTGGGGGCTCGTTCCAAAGCGAGTTAGTCGGGAGTTGGGAAGGGAGGCCAGAGCCCAGGTGGAGGGTGGGCTGAGATGGAAAGTTTCTGCCAGGCTGGCGGGATTAAGGCTGACTGTCCCGTGCTCTCAGAGCTGATAGCTTGCGCTTGGGGTTTAAAAGCTGTGATATCCAGGTGACTTCCGCACCCTGAAAGCTTCCCCAGGAATTGTCACGAGCTGGGCCGTCTTCAGCGCCCTCGCTGTGGGAAAGGGCCGCCTTCTTGATGCCAGCGGGGGACTTCTGTCTGACGGACTGCACCGGGCTCATGGGGGCTTCCCAAGTGCTCTTCCTTCCAGAAAGCTCTGGGACACAGGAAGCAGGCAGCACTGCCCCAGGGAAATAAAAATAAAATGTGGACCCAACATTTAGAGGGAAGGAGACACCGTGGCATTCGTGCCTATTGTTTGGCATTTTATGCGCCACAAAGTGAGAACTAAATTGTAGGCTTCGCAGCATTGCTGTGAGGGGACGGAACCCCACACTTGCTTATCCCAGGAGATGATAAAAAGAAATCGTCCCCCCTTGTTGGTGCCTGATAATGGAACCTTCCTGAAACGGTTTGATCTTCTTTTGTTGTTTCGTGGCCAGACGTTTTATGTTCTTTTTTTAATTAAAAAAATTTTTTTTAAAGATTTATTTATTTTGAGAGAAAGAGACAGAGTGACCAGGAGTGAGGCGGAGAGAGAAGGAGACACAGAATCTGAAGTAGCTCCAGGCGCTGAGCTGTCAGCACAGAGCCCGACACGGGGCTCGAACCCACGAACTATGAGATCATGACCTGAGCCAAAGTCAGACGTTTAACTGACTGAGCCACCCAGGCGCCAGTATTTATTTTTTGAAAGAGAGAGAGAGCAGGGGAGGGGCAGAGAGAGGGGGATAGAGAGACAGAGAATCCCAAGCAGGCTACCCGCTGTCAGCGCAGAGCCTGACACAGGGCTCGAACTCAGGATTCTGAGACTCAGGACCACCTGAGCTGAAATCAAGAGTCAGATGCTTAACAGACTGGGCCCCCCAGGTGCCCGGAACGTTCTGTGTTCTGTCTTCATGTTAATTCATGAACCAGAGAGACAACCTCAGAGCCTGGCCAGAGAGAAGGTTGGGGGGGGAGCTGTCAGGAAATGGCACCCCATGGCTTCCGACAACGGAGAAACAAGAAGTGTTGGGTGGCAGCTGCTGGCATCTGGAGAAGTCAGGAGGTGAGGGGGGGCTGGGGTGACAGGGGCGGGGGTGGGGGCAGTGTGGGCGGAAGGGGAGCAGGTTTGGTGGTGACGGAGGCGCAGGGCTGGGCTGCAGCCAGAGGGAGGGGCCAGCCAGGGCTGGTGAGCTGCAGCTCCCCCACCCCGCCTGCTCCTGCGTCTGTCTGTCTGTCTGTCTGTCTCTGCCCTGGGCCCCTCTGCTAGGTGAGCTGACTCTCCAGGTGGTGAGCGATCGGCCCCCGGATGGGCCCTTCACAGGGGCCCCGACAGCAGAGGCCTGGTCAGGGGAGCGGCAGGCACACGGGGGAGTGGCCCCGTGCCCCCCGCTGCCCGTCAGAGGGACAGGCAGGCACCGGGACGCGGCCCGGGCAGAGGTGCTGAGCCCCGCTCTGCTGGACGAGCCTCTTGAACTGAGGAGACGCGGCCTCGGTGAAGGACGGCTCATCGGGCTAGAAAGGGCCCATCGACTGCAGAGCAGTCTGTCGCAAGGAGCATTCATGTGCCCCGTCTGTGGGGGGCCGCTGGGCTGCGGGGGGCAGGAGGGGCCGTCTGAGCACAGCAGGCTGGGGCCCGGGACCCCAGTCCCCCCCAGACCCCCGGGTCCCCGTCTGGCCTGGGAGCAAACACCACCGGCTGAGCTTGGCCTCCTAATGTAAGAGGGCTTGCGGGGGGCAGGCAGAGACTGTTCACAACTCAGAGATGTCCGCCCCCTGGGCCCGTGGCCAGGGCTGTGCCCTCCAGCTGCAGCCCCTCCCCCTCCCCCCCACCAGCCACGGACACAGCCACTGCCTGGCCCCGGCCCCAACCCATAAGTCCCCTGGACTGTATGCAGCAGGCGCCGGCTACATGTGCACATACACACTTTGGGGCGAGGAAGGGGTTGGTGGCTGGCATCAGACTCTCAGGAAGTTTACCCCCCAAATGTTAAAAACTCCCGCTAGACGATGGCATGGACCGCGGACACACGTGGTCTGTGTGCCCGTTTGCAAGCTGGAAAAGGCTACGTTTATGGTCTGCCTTCAGAGATCTCAGTGTTTGCCCTTGACCGGCTCCGCCACGAACCACTTCCCTCTGATAGGGGCCTATCGACCAGTCGTTAGAAATCCAAACTTTCAAATGCCAGCGGAGGACACAGGGCTGTGTAGGCAACGTGCTAACACAGATCATGTGTTTGACCTGGTGACGGGTACCGGTCACGGCTCTCTGGACAGACAGAGGCAGTGGGGTATACTTATGCACATACGAGGACATTTGTCACCAGAAGCAATGGGGTATACTTGTACACATGAGGACATTTGTCACCAGGCAGCTCTGGTGGCCAAGATGTCCCATGATGCCCCACGTGCGGGCTGCGATCGGGAAAGCCAGAGCTGTGAGTCTAGGCCAAGCCCACAGGCCAGGAACCGCGAGTGCGGGAGAAGATGGACATCCCGGCTCCCGCGGAGAGCGCAAGCGTTCCTTTCTTCTCCTTAGTCTCTCGCTGCCTTCAGCGGGTTGGGGGAGGCCCACCCCCCGCAGGAGGGAACTCTGCTCCACTGAGCCCCTGCACTCCCTGAGATCCGGAACAGCCTCAGAGACCCGCACAGAGTCCGTCTCACCAAACACCTGGGCAGCCTCGGGCCCAGTCAACGGCCACGTAAAACCATCCATCACGCGTAACCCGCCTGAGTCATCATTTCCTTTCCTGATGGAACATTCCTCCGTAACTTACCAGTCCAGCCGTCTCCCTCCCTCTGCTCTCCGGGGCGCGCACCCTGGCTGTGGGTGTGTGACGACAGCGCTCCTCTGAAGAGCCCTCAGCCCCTCCGCCCGTCCCCACGCGCCCCGCACCCAGGACTGTGGCCTCCCGGTACTTGGATGTGCCGCAAGCATGGGGAGGTCTCCACTCCGCCCGCACCCGTGTAGCAAACAGGAAGACACTATCCCACGTCTGCGAGAGGCTCCAGTGTCCCGAGCGACGATCAACTTACCCAGAGGGTCAAACCCCTGAAGAGCCGCGTACTTGGCAGACACAACGAGACCCTCTTCCTTCCCGCGTTTCCCCAGCGTCTAGATATTCTAATGGGCTCAGGACAGTGTGATTCTGCAGCAAGGTCTTGGAAAGCATCCAAGTGCTCTATATATAATTTAAAGTTCGGCTCTTAGAAGCAGAGCAGAATTATTTTTAGATGTGGACAAGGACACAAAGACAGCAGGGGGGGGAGGAAGGGCCGCTGAGGCATCCCCGAGTCTGGCAGATGACTGAGGCTTGGTTCGCGGACTTTCCAAATTCCAGGAAGAAGGAGAAGGGACGTGAGGCCTGCGGATGAGGGTGGTGGCTGCGTGGTTGCAGATGAGCTCGCAGCTGTCCCTGTGGTCGGAAAGGAAGGAAATCGCCAAGATGAGGGACAGAGTCAGAGCCTGCAGCCTGGGAAGGGCTGAGGCCCTACGTCCAGCAGCCTGGAGGGAAAAGAACCGTGCCAGCAACATGGGGGTGTGTGCAGAGGCAGACCCTTCCCTGCAGAGCCTCAGGGGGGCCTTCAGACCCTGGCCACCGCCTGGGGCAGCCTGTGACAGACTTGGGCAGGGCCCGCAAAGCCGTCTGAGTCCGTGACCCCGGGACAGTCGTCCTGTGACGTCAGCGTGTGCTGGCATGAGCCGTGAAAGTCGGGGGTATCTTTTAGGCTGTGATGGGGAACTAGCCCTCAGGGCACATCCTGCTGGAGGGAAGCTGTGCAGTCAGTACGGCCCGGAACGTCCCCTCCTATCAGGGATTCTCTTCTAAGGTCACAGCTAAAAAATAAATAAAATATAAAATAAAATAAAATAAAGCAAAATAAAACAAAAGTCTAGTTGAAGGGTTGAACAGAGTACTAAAATCCATGCATTGCAAAAGAGTAAGGAAGGAGAGTTGGCTCCGTGTCCCCACAGTGGCCGGAGAGCTCTGCTTGCTGCGCTCTGACCCACTGAGCGGGGCTCCGAGCGCCGGCACGGGGGGCGGGGGGGGCGGTAATGGGTCGCCCACAGGGAACACGAGTCTGCATACATAGACCTCAGGTTTTGCAAAACCTTGGGGGATCTGACAATTCTTGACCTTATTTTTTTAAATTACCTATCGTGTACTTATTCCCAAACAATACTTGCTCATTGCAGGAAAAGAGAATTCTCACAATAAGCAAAAGGAAACAAAAATATCTAGATCTGTTTACATGTATGTGCACACAGGTGTGCGCGCGCGCGCACACACACACACACACACACAGGCTCCTGTTGTCTCTTGTGATATATCCTGAGCATATTTCCATGTCAATAAATATTTATCTTCATAATAGTAACAAGTGAAAACTTTAAAAATTTTTTAAAGCATGTGACTCTTTTTTTAATGTTCATTTATTTATTTTGAGAGAGAGAGAGAAAGAGAGAGCAGGAGGGACAGAGAGATTGAGGGAGAGAAAGGGAGAGAGAATCCCAAGCAGTCTCTGCACTGTCAGCACAGAGCCCGACGCGGGGCTTGAACTCACGCACTGTGAGATGATGACCTGAGCCAAAATCAAGAGTCTGGGGCTTAACGGACTGAGCCCCCCAGGCGCCCCTCAAGTGTATATTTTTACGATAATTTACTTAACCTGTGGTCATTTTGGACTCAGTTTATTTCTATTGTTTTCTATATCGCAGACAATTCAATGACAGCTGACCAATCTCTAACTTTATATTTAAAAAATATCAATTATATAAGAAGCTATAAAGGGCTTTTGGCTAAAGTAAACTGTGCACCAACTTTTTAAAGCTAGGAGGCTCCAAGAAGGAGTGGGTGATTCCAGAGCAGGAACCCGAGGCTGGGGGTACAGGACCTATGGGTGGAGGCTGGCACGGCGCCCCGGCCCGGGAGAGAAGGGCACCCACGGGCCATCGCCCACAGGCCCAGCGTTCCTTTCCTGCGGCCCCTGCCCTGCACAGGCCCAAGGGCAGTCACCCCCAGACTGCAATCATCAGAGCCCTCTGGGGCTTGTTAAAAATAGGCACCCCGTATAGAGGCAGCACTCTGGGTGGACCCCAGCGGGGTGGTGCGGGAGGAGGGGAGACCAGGTGGCCTGCCTCTGATGAAGGTGGGGCCTAGGGACCCCCCCAGTCATTCTGGCCGAGGGGAGGCCTGACCTCCAGCCTCGGCTCTTTTACAATACAGTTTGGATGCTGGAGAGGTAAGCTAGGGGATGGGGTGGGACCAGGACCAGGCAGCACCTCCCTAAAGGTGTGCACCCCCGTCATTTGGCTGGGGCGGGAGGGGGCGGGGGGGGGCTACAGAATGGCTTGTTCACGTCCGCAGGCTCAGGCACTGGGCCATCCCCACCGCGGACTCTCCATGGGGCGACTGAGAGCGGTTTGCCTTGGGGTAACCGAGCTCCCGCGCAGGGCTGAGGCCGGCCACACCAGGCCTCTGAGGGACCAGCCCCACATCCGAAGCAGGAAACTAACTGGCACGGAGTTGAGCTCGGTAACACGTCGGCCTGACCCTCACCCGTCACCCAGCACGCCAACAGGGAGGCTGCAGCTCGGGCGCTCGCAGCAGAGCTGTGGGGGCCTCTGGCGGACACGCAGGGGCGCGTCGGGCTCTTCAGGTAAGAGCTTAGGTCTCAGACGCCCCCATCCCAAGCCCCCATGCCCCCTGCCCCCCCGCCCGTCCCACTGGCTTCGGGCATCCAAGTCTGGCGCAGGGTGTCGCTAAGGCCCCCTCTGCGGGATCACTTCCTCCCCCTCCAGCCGGGGGCGGGTGCGGGCCCAGGGCCTGGACGCCCCCCGCCCCCCCCCCCCCCGGCCAGGGGCGCCCGCGTCTGCCCACCCACTGGGGGTTCCGCGCCGCGTACCCCGCCCGGAGAAAAACCTGGGGCGCCCGCGGCTCAGGGCGCCGCCCCCGGAGGGATCCTGCGGGGGGTGCCTCGGTCGGGGTGCGGGTCTCCTACGCGGTGCGCTCCCTTCCAGGGCTGCGATCACGCCCACCTGCTCTTCCGGCCCCTGCTGCGACCCCCCCCCCCCGGCACTCTCCCACCCGCTCCCTTCCACCGGGGTGCTCCCGGCCCCCTGCCCACCCGGCGCCCGCGTCGCTGGCGGGGTACAGCCGCCACCTGCGGGGCCCCCCTCCATCTGTGACCCCGCCCGTCTGGGATGCTCCGCCCACCCGCGGGGCGTCCCCCGCCCCCCTCCCGCGCCGGGTCCTCCAGCTGCCCCCGAATCGCCCCCACCTGCCGCGCTCGCCCTGCGGCGGGTGCGCGCCCCGCCCCGCCCCGCCCGCGCCCCGCGCCCCGGAGCCCGCCCTAGGCCGCCCATTGGCGCGCGGCGCGCGGCCGGGGCGGGCGGTTCCGAGCGGCGGCGGGCGGGCGGGGACCCTCGCGGGCTGCGCACCCGCCCGGCACTGTCTGCCCGCTCGCCATGGACGAGGACGACGTCTCCTCCCGCAAGGGCGCCCTCCCGAAGTTCCTGGAGCACCTCTCCGGGGCCGGCAAGGCCATCGGCGTGCTGACCAGCGGCGGGGATGCCCAAGGTGCGCGGCCGCCCGGGCGGGGGGGGCCGGGGTCCCCGGGGCGAGCGGGGACCGGGGACGGGAGCGCCGGGAAGAGGCGGGGGGGGGGGGGGTTGCTGCGGGAAGAGAAGGGTTGGGGGCCAGCCCGGACGCCCGGGAACCGCAGGGGTGCCTTCCGGGGCAGCAGGGGGCGGAGCAGCCCGGGGAGGGGTCGCTGCGGGGCGGGGAGGCCGGAGGAGGGAGGTCCTGGCCGGCGGACCCTTCATCAGGAAGACAGTTAGGTTCCCGCCGCCACGTTTATTTTTTAAATTGGGGCTGCGACGGGGTCTCCCGGAAGTCATTGCTTGTCCAGGTCTTGGGGGCAGGGGTCAATCCCCCTCGGGGCGCGACCACCCGGATGCGGCGGCTCCCGCCCCCACCCCCCGCGTGCGGGAGAAACGGCCGGGTCCCCGCCGCGCGTCCTGCGGGTTCGCGTCCCCCGCGCGGCGCGGGCGGGCTCCCGGCTGTGGCCTTGCGGGGCGCGGCGGGGGCGCGAGGGGACCCCGCGCGGGGGGCCCGGGGTCCGCGGGGAGCGCTTTGAAAGGTTTCCGCCGCTCCCCTGACAGAACCGAAAACTGAGATGGGTGACTAGGCCCGCCCTCCAGCCTCGGGATGGGAAGGACCAGGAAGCCGGGGCTCCGGGGCGTCACCAGCACCCGGGCCGCGGGCTCCAGTCCCCCCACCCCCACCCTGTGGAGGCCGGCTTTGGGGAGGGGGGGACCCCAGCCTGGGGCCCGCGGACACCCGAAGGGAGTGTTTGTATTTAAAGGAGGGGTGGCCCGGCCACGCCCGGGCCCCTGGCGCTGGGTGCACGTGGGGCCGCAGGGGCCCCCGGACGGTGGGGTTTCCTGAGCCGGGTCACTCCGGGGACGGGGCAGGCCGGCCGCCAGAAAGTGGGTCACACGCGTCCTCGGAGCCTGGAGGCGGCCCGCGCTGGAGGCGCCAGCCCGGCCGGGGCTGGGGTTTGTTTTCCCCGCTCCTCCTGCCTGGCTTCCACGCGTGTCTCGGCCACACCAGGTGGAAGGATGCTGGCGCACCGCGCCCGGCACCCCCGCCGCCCCCCGCCGCCCTCCGCGCCCGTGACCTTCCCTTCGCCCTTGAGCCGGGCGGGGCGGCGCGGGGGCGGCAGGTTGGGGCGCTGCGGCCTCGGCCCCGCCCGCCGCGCGCCTACGTGATGCCCGGCCAGTAGCCGCCCGCGCGCCCTGCGCTCCTGGCCCTGGGCAGCCGGCGCGGGGGGCGCGGGGGGCGCGGGGGTCCGGAGCTAGGCCGCCTCGGCCGCCCGGGGGAGGCAGCGGGCGTCCGTCTCCGCCCCCACCCACAGGCCCGCCTCTGCCTCGGGAGGGGACCCCGCTCCGATTAGCATTCCCCGGGAGGAAACATTCCGGGGAAGCAGTGCGTTGTGACCAAGCAAAGGCCGGGGAGCCGGGGAGGGGGGGGGCGGGGTGCAGATGAATCGCCCACGTCACTTAAATGAACGCCGAGGCGGGCCACGTGGGGTCCGGCCCGGGTCGCCCTGGGCCCGGAGGGGCTTCCCCGTCAGCGGGCCTGTCAAGCACGTGCGCCTGGAGCCCTGGGCCGGCGGCTTCGGAGGCTTCCTGGGCGAATCGGGCCCCACAGGGCGCACTCCCGCCTGGCAGAACAGGAACCGGCTTTAAACCACAGCTGCAGGGCCGCCGTTTCAGTTATTTTACAACGAACATTTTGTGTCTGTTGAAAAAAAAATGTAGAGGCCTTGTCTTGAACTTCATGCGAATAGTCAATCTCTTGCTTTAGTACTTGGAGGTCTGACTGAGCGTCTGGATGTGTTACTGTCTGAGAAAGCTCCCCAGGCGCGAGCTCGGGTCGCAGCAGCAGCAGATTTTCAGACCCTTAGAGAAGGTTGTTCCTAGAGAGATTGTCTTAGGCGCTCTGTCCTTTGCCTGTTTCGTCTTGATTCCGGGTTCTGTCAGCACTTGGTTTTCCCTGAGATAGGAGAATTCTGCTCACAGCTAACCGTCCGGGAGAGCACACGCAAGCCTTAAGTTCAAGGTAGTTTTCTTTCTTTTTTTAAAAAAAATTTTATGTTTATTTATTTTTGAGAGAGGCAGAGACAGAGCGCAAGCAGGGGAGGGGCAGAGAGAGGGAGACACAGAATCTGAAGCAGGCCCCAGCCTCCGAGCTGTCAGCACAGAGCCCAGAGCCCGATGCGGGGTTCAAACTCACAGACTGAGAGATCGTGACCTGAGTCGGATGCTCAACCGGCTGAGCCACCCAGGTGCCCCACGTGGTAGTTTCCTGATCTGACGTGAAATGGTGGTCAGGTTCCATGCGGAGATGACCATGGCTACTATTTTGGGGGCACGTTTTGGGTACCGGGAGTGCTACGGCCCCCGTTTCCAGGCCTGATTACATCACTTCAAGATACGTACGCCTTTATTTCCGAGGTGGGGAGAAGGTCCTACAAACCCGTGAGCAGCTTAGTTCAGGTTACGTGGCTTCTGTGTGGCTGTGGGCAGGATTTAAAGAACTCCTGTGAGGCCTCAATCCCCACTACTTCCCAGTAGGCCGTGGTCTCCAGGGGCCTCTCTTTGGTAAGGTTGTAAAGTAAGTCCAAGTTCATGCTCCAAGGTGGGCAAAGCCCAGCTTGCTCAAAGTTATACAGATGATTCTTTTTTAATTTTTTTTTAACGTTTTATTTATTTCTGAGGGAGACAGTGTGAGCAGGGGAGGGTCAGAGAGAGAGGGAGACACAGAATCTGAAACAGGCTCCAGGCTCCGAGCTGTCAGCACAGAGCCCGACGCGGGGCTCGAACCCGCGAACTATGAGATCATGACCTGAGCTGAAGCCGGACGCTTCACCGACTGAGCCACCCAGGCGCCCCTGTACAGATGATTCTTAAACAGCTTTGTGAGTGGAGCAGAAAACGCCTCTTTACCGTGAGAGCACTGGGGTAGCCGGAGGAATCCCACATCGATGCCAGAGTGACGGAGTGTGTTGTTTTCCAGTCGAGTTTAGCGTCATTCTTTAGGAAAATAAAAATAAAGAAAAAAATCCTCCCATCTGTATGCCCCCGCCCCGCCCATTAAGGAAGACTGTTTCTAGACCTTACTGTCTTTCTCCTTCTGGGTTTCTTCTGTTGTCGTGAGGAATGTCTGCAAGTTTAAACGGATTTTCCACGGTGCTGGACGGACAGCCTTCCCATGACTAAGCAGCCACCCTCCAGCGAGGTTGTGTCACACAGCGAAGGTGATTCACTGTGGGCGCTGCAGGGCCGGATGCAGCCGAGAAAGCGCAGGGACCCGGGGCAGCGAGGCTGGGAAGGTTGAGTCCTCTTTCGCCTGAGGCAGAGCAGACACAGTCCAGTCTCCAGAGAGCCCCCCCCAGCAGCCTTTCCAGGGTCAGCAAGAATCTCCGCAGTGTGAGTGACTTCCGTCCGGGCCTGACACAGGGACCAGGGGGCTTTGCAGGCGTGGGTGCAGAGGGGACGGAAGGTGGGGACCCACGCGTCTCTACAAGCTGCATTTCTGGGGGGGCCAGCACAGGACGCGGCACCCCCCCCCACACACAAAGGCCCTGTGGGCCACTCCCTATCATAAAAGGCCGGGTGACTGGAGTTCTGGAGTTCGGTCTCCCTTTTCCCATTAGGTCATTTCGATGACTTGAACCTTGGCTAATGCAACCACTCTATCTGCGGAGCGGTGTCTGGGAACGGCTAAGGCCTCAACGATTTGGACTTCAGCACCGTAGTCAGAGCCGCGAGGCGCTGGTCTCGGGCCTGGGCATGAGGGTGGCTCCGCTGCTGAACGAGAAGCTTGCACACCGCCCGGGGGCCCCGTGCGGGTGGGTTCCTGCGAGCCCAGCCTGACGCAGAGGGAGCGGGGCCGGTGGGCGCCTTGTCTCCAAGGGCTCTGGGGGCCCGTCCCGTCCTGGAACTCTGTACACGTACGTTCTGCAACAGGGTTTTATTCCGGCGTAAAATGTAATAACTTAGCAAACACTGTTGCGTCGGGGAGGCAGTGTGTTAGAATTATAGCACTAACCGGTGAGCGCCGTGGGCAATCAGCCACTGCATCCTTGTCTGTAACGCACACGCACCGAGTGGCACGCCCAGTGACTTCGAAGTTAGACACTTTGTCATCTTTCAGAAAAACGCAAACCCGGGTTATGGGAAACAGAGTTTTGGCTCAGAACTGACACGTTTCACCAGGGAGATGCCGGGGCCCACGGGGGCGCCAGCCAGAGGGGCCGCCGGGTGCCGGGGCCCACGGGGCGCCAGCCAGAGGTGGACTTTGTAGGTGGAGGGTTTGGCCTCAGGTAGGAGCCCATCTGCCCGGCAGGAAGGAAGGCAGAGCCAGGCGCAGGGTGGAAGCAGGTGCTCCTGGCGACAGGTACATAGTGTCTGGGAAAGGGTGGATCAGAAGTGGGTAGAAAGTAGAGCTGAGCAGTAGAAGCAGGGCTTTGCCCCAAGCCCATTACAAAGGTCACTGTGTAGCCACCGCTTTACAGAAGAGAAAACAGGGGCTCAGCTGGGTAAGTGCCTGACTTCGGCTCAAGTCACGATCTCGGGGTTCATGGGTGCAGCCCCACGTCGGGCCCTGTGCTGACAGCTCGGAGCCTGGAGCTGCTTCGGATTCTGTCTCCCTCTCTCTCTCTGCCCCACCCCTGCTTGTGCTCTTTCTCTCAAAAATATAAACATTTTTAAAAACTTTTAAAAAACAAAAAGGAAAAGAAATAGAAGAAATTAATTGTAAATGTATATTTTATTCAACCTTGTATTTCAATCCATCTTGAATATAAAGACCATTAATAGGACATTTCACAGCCTTTTCTTTTTTTCTGTGCTGAGCCTTGAAATGTACTCTGTCGTCTGACAGGTGCATCTCAGCGCAGCCCGGGGCCGCCCGGGGATGACGGGGCTTCAGCCCCTGCGGAGGCCATGGCGGCTTGGATTCAAGCCCCCCTGAGCATCTGTGTTGAAGCTCGGATGGCGTGCAGGGGTCGGGTGGCTGTGGTCTCGGTGTCCGTGGGGGACACGGCGTGTGGCCGGCGTGGGGTGCCTGTGGCCTGTGGTCGGCCTCTCCCTCCCCCCACCGGGAACCGTGTATCCGCTTCCCGGGTACTGCCCGCAGCCCGGGACCCTGACCACGCGCTCAGTGACGTCGGGCACCGGAGCCCGGCAAGGGGAAGAGGCCCCATCCGTGTGCCCCGGACGGATGGACGGACAGACGGACGGACGGACACGTACAGGCAGGTCACGTCCCCCTCGGGCGGGACGGTTCAGGCAGGACTCGCGGGTTCGGCTGGCACAGGACGCAGAGGAGCGTGCGTGCCGGGGTTCTCCTTACACCCCCCTGCCCTCTGCCACCGACAGTATTCAAGGGGGCTTCACGGAGAACCCTGGGAGCAGGAGCGAGTTCAGGTTTGTTTCCTGACACGCCGCCGGCTGCTTCCTACAGAGACGCGTGTGCTCAGACCTCAGGCGCCAGGAAGAGGGCCCGGGACTCTAGAGTTCAGAAAGGACGTTAAGTAGGGACGAACAGCGAGGGAGTGGTGACCTGGGGAAAGTCGCTCCGGGCCCTTAAGAGGGTTAAGGGGACTGATTATCCCCCTCCGATCACGTGGGAAGCAAAGTGAGCCGCTTATTTTGCTAGAATCAACATGTCCCTTGCTGCTGCTTGCAGATGACTTGAAGTTTCTTTTCTTTTTCTTTTCATAAAGTTTATTTATTTATTTCTGAGACAGAGACAGAGCGTGAGCAGGGGAGGGTCAGAGAGACAGGGAGACACAGAATCCGAAGCAGCTCCAGGCTCTGAGCTGTCAGCGCAGAGCCCGATGCGGGTTCGAACCCAGGAACCGCGAGGTCATGACCTGAGCTGAAACCGACGGAGCCCCCAGGCGCCCCAAGATCACTCGGAGCTTAGACGTCGTCAGAGCAGACCTCAGGAAGCATTTGGAAACAGATCCCCGGCGCTCGCTGACCTCAAGGAAGGAGTGATCTTTTTTTTTTTTTTAATTTCATTAAACTCTTTATTTTTTAAAAATTTTTGAAGTTTTTGTTTTAATTCCAGCGTACGATATGGTGACTGTCAGCAGTTCCTCTTTTTAATTTATTTTCTTTAAACATTTCAGTTAAGGAAGGAACGATCTTGAACAGACGCTGTACCCGCGTGGTACTTTGGTAGGAAGCCGTGGACGCGTCCGAGCCCAGAGAACAGCTTACGGGTCTGGTCGCTCTGCTGCGTCACGCGTTTCCCAGCTCGCTGCCCCTCGTGGTTTCAGGGCTTGCTCTTTGGTGGTTCCCATAAGCGGCTCCACGTTCCCTGAAGGCAGGCTTACATTTTTGCCAACGAGGAGACCACTGTCCAAGTATGAAGGTTGAGTTGGCGGGAGGATCACATTCCCATGATAGTAATTAGGAAAGTTGTTTTAATGTCCAGATGTGGCTGCTGAAAGGAAAGTGAAAGCGCAGGGGCGGAGCCCTGGGGGGGGCGGTGCCCTGTGAGGGAGGCCTTGGGGAGCAGGGGTGTCTTTTGCCCTCCAGGGCCCCCTCCCTGGAAGGCGTCCACCTGCTGGGCCAGGCCCCGCCCTCGCCATGCGGACTAACCCGCAGGCCCCGCCCCCAGCAGTTAAACAGGAATCGGGGCCCAGGGGACATTCTGGTCCCTGGAGCTGGAGACTCCAGTGCACAGACTTCCCACCGGGGACTCTGCACCAGCTTCAAGTCTGACTGAGGCTAAGGCTTACCCTCCAGCCGTGCCCTTCGTTAATATCGTTCCCTTGGCTTCTCACTTCCTGTGCCCTGAGCCTGACCTCCTCATCCCCCCAGGGGGGCTCCGGGCCCTACAGACTTCCTAGGAGCATCCACCCCTGCTGGCTATTAGCTACAGGCAGGCCCCTCCCCAGGCCCCAGGAGTGCTAGCTCCCAGCAGTGGCTGGAGGCCAGCTGGCTAGACTCACTCACTTGCACATGAGTTAAAGCCTCATGTGAGGGGAGGGTTTTCAGGACACACCAGCGGGGACCCCTCTCCATCACTGGTGCCTGTGCGCTCTTTCTGTCTCAAAATAGGTAAATTTATTTATTTATTTAAAATGTTTATTACTTTATTTTGAGAGAGAGTGAGTGAGTTGGGGAGGGACAGAGACAGAGACAGAGAGGGAGAAAGAATCCCAGGAAGGGTCCTCACTGACAGCGCAGAGCCCCATGTGGGGCTCGAACTCATGAACCGTGAGATCATGACCTGAGTCCAAAGCAAGAGTCGGACGCTTAACCGACTGAGGCCCCCAGGCGCCCCATAATCTTTTAACGAGAAGAACGTATTTATAAATTTCCTGTGTCGTAACTAACCAAAGACAAAAAGCTGTTTTAGTCACCTGGCCGTGGTGTGGATCAGGTTGCAGGGACGCGGTGGGGTTTGGAGCAAACGTGGGGAGAATTGTGAGTTTCAAGGGCAGGGGCCGTCGCGGCGCCGTGTCTGGTGTGAGCAGCAGGCAGGGGCGTGTGGGGCGAGGCAGGGGCGTGCGGGCCCAGGTGTCATCTTGACGCAGAGTTTGAGGGGCTCCAGACACAAACAGCTGTTACTCGGCAGGTCGTCTGAGGTTCAGGCAGGAAGGGGTGTAACTACCAGATGTGCACCTGTCCACGGATGTAGCTCTCACGCGGGCATTCAACGTGGACTTATTTCTAAGGTCGGGGCCCCAAGCTCGTCCAGCCGCGTGACCATTGTAGCCTTTCGAACTGTCGCCTTCGGGAGCCGACAGCCGAACTCCCGGCTCTCAGACGCGGCTCAGAAGTGACCGCTGCTACCCTCCTTCTGAGCGGGCTTGCCCTCAGGTACATACGGATTTCGCCTCTGTGTCCCTTACGCTCCTGGGACCCAGGGCGCCATCCGTGTGTTTGTTACCAGGAGTGGCCTTTCCTTGTGGCCCGTGTTGGAGGCGGGTTGCAAGGGCCGGCTGTCCGGGGGGCCGGCCGGGGGCCGGTGCTGACTGTCCCCGCCCGGTGAACACGGGGCTTTGCAGGGGTGCAGCGCTGACCGTTCACCCCGCTCTCCACAGCGCGCCCCGGCCCGGACGGGCCCTCGAAGGCGGGGCTCCCGTGGAGGGTGGTAGCGGTCGGGGTGCAGCGAGAACACGGCCGTGCTGCACAAGCTGCTTTTAACTCCCTTCAAGTGTTGTCCTCTGCAGGGTGCGGAACGTGCCCCAGACCTGTCTCGAGCAGGTATTATTCGTGGCTTTTCTTTTCATAAACAGCATGACTGTTTTTGAACTTGAGGCCATTGACAGAGACGTTATTTACACCGCCAGCGGCTAAGGAAATAAGGGTTTTTCCCTCCTTAAATCCCAGAAGTGACTTTTGTCCGTATTAATTTGAATTTGTCCAACTCCTGATGAACCGTGGTCCCTCTGGTGCCTTGTGGATGGGCCAGTGTCCCGCGTCTGTCTGCGGTGGCTGTCAGGGCGCCCCGGGCTCTCGGACAGTGACGCCCGCTGGCTGTGCGCCCTCAGTGCGCCCGGCTGGCTGACCCCGGCCCCGGAGGCGCGCACCAGGCCCGTCGTCCGTGTGAGGACCCTGCGCCTGGGCACGCCGGCTACCCGTGGTCTCGGCGCCAGAATCGCCCCAGTGCGGTCACTAACTGTGTCCCTGTTCCTTCCGCAGGTATGAACGCCGCTGTCCGCGCTGTGGTGCGCATGGGGATATACGTGGGGGCCAAGGTGTACTTTATCTACGAGGTCAGTGCTGCGTCTCCCTCCCGCTTGCCCTGACTCGGGGTCCCGCGCCTCACGCCTGCCCGGGCGCTGCCGGCCCAGCAGGAGATGCCAGGTGGCCACGGGCTCGCTCAGGCCAGAGCAGGGCCCCGTGTGCCGGGGGGGGGGGTCTGGGGGAGGGCACATGGGGCGCAAAATGCCACATTTTGTCCACCTGCTGATCCCGTGGATTACGGTATTTATCTGCACCTCCTTCCTCATGGAAGTGATCTGTCCCTGTGCTGTGCGTAGTTGAATTAACATTAAGATAAATGGGAGAAAGGCCACGTTGAGCTTTGCGTCATCGCCGTGAAATCCAGACCACCCCCCTGACAACCTTTGTGTATCAGCTTCGTTCATGCGAGGAGCCTGAAACATGCCGGCGGCCGTGGGCCGTGATGTCCCGCTTTCCGGGGGCCGGCCACTTAGAAGTAAGCGGGGTTTGGAGGGGAGGCGCCCGGATAGTTTGGACCAGGCTGTTTATTTCAAAAACTATTGGGGAAAAATAATTTCTATTTAGTTTGTAAATTTATGAAAGTTAACAAAGCTGAAATCATGGAAAGAAGAGAGTATGTTCCTATCTTATTTGGATTCTTCCCAGGACTGTTTGTGAAAGTCTGGAAGGAGATCTGCATGTTACGATAACTACAGCAAATAGGGGCGCCTGGGGGCTCAGTTGGTTGAGTGTCCGACTTCAGCCCAGGCCGTGATCTCATGGTTCGTGAGTTCAAGCCCCACGTCAGGCTCTGTGCTGACAGCTTGGAGTCTGGAGCCTGTTTTGGATTCTGCGTCTCCCTCTCTGTCTCTCTCTGCTCCTCCCCTGCTCACATACACTCTCTCTCTCTCTCTCTCTCTCTGAAATAAATAAACATCAAGAAAATTTTTTAAAATCTAGAACAAATACTTTTCGTGCAGTGTCTTCCGCCACGGCTACACCCACCGCTTCAGGGGTCTCACACTACGTGACCCCGTTTGGGGGCTCGTTCCTCTCCCGCACAGCCGAACCACGCAGGTCACGCCCCACCCTTCAGCTGTCCTTCACGGCGGGTGTGAAGCCGAGGGGTGTTTTCTGGGATTAGTACGACCCCAGCACAGGGCGCCGGCCGCATGGCCCTTGCAGGGGCCTCGGCGTGTTTCGCCAGAGTGGCTCCTGAATCCGGCTGCAGGCCCCGACCTCCCGGCCCCAGAGCTGGCCTGGGCTCTCCTCCTGGGAAGCAGCTGCCCACAAGCCTTTGCTCGCGGGGCTGGAGAACACGTGTGTGCTGTTTGCCGGAAAGGTGTTTTCTTCGCCCCGTTCTTTGCTTTGCTTTTCTGAGCTGCGACTCTGAATCTGGGTTTGCGTCTGTCCGATTTGGGCGCTGTGCAAAGGTCGGGCCGATCCGGTGTTTCCGGACTGTTGTCTGGGCCTCTCCGGGGTCACGTCGCTGCTGTGAGTGCCGGCCCCGGGCGGGCGCTGGTGCGGACAGAGCACGTCCCCACCGAAGGGCTTTAGTCTGGGACACTTGTCCCCGTGCGTGTTCTTCTGCGGGAGCCTGTGAGCTGCATGCATCCCCTCTGCCTTTTCCTTTGCTTCCATTTCACTCCGGGAGGGGCTTGAGCAGGACCCCCCAGCGGCCCCCCAGCGGGGCTTTGTGGGGCGGGCGGCCTCGGCCAGGTTCCCCTCCTGTCACTAACGGGGTTTTCCGATTCGCTGCGGACGATCCTGCCTGGACCGCGGCATCCAGCGCGGGCCCCACAGGGTTTGTCCCCTCGCTGGGGACACTGGCCGTTCTCCTGGCCCCAGCTCGGTCACAGCGGCACTGGGTCTCCACGGTGACTGCGGGTGCCGGAGGGAGGGGAAGGAAGTCACTTCTGTTATTTCCGTTGAAGAAACTCTTTCAAAAAAGAGAGTTTTCTTTGTCTGTGTCTTTTCGTCCCTGGCAGAGCCGGGAGAAAGCTCCGGTCCCCCACCCAGCCAGGGACGGGGAGGGGACCTTCCCCGGGGCTTCATGACGGTCCCGTTATCGGGGCTCCTGGCCGGCGGTGCACGGGGACCCGGGATAGCGCTCAGCTCCCTGCCCTGCCCCGAGCAGCGCCCGCACGGGGTTAGTTACCTGGCCCTGAATGTGCACAGTGCGGAGGTCAGGAGACCCTGCGTTAGGCCGAGGACCCGCTGTGCAGCTGGCGTGCGGGCGGGGGGTCGGCCTGGCGGCCACGTGCATGCTGACTCGCTGGGTGTGGAGACTGATCTTAATCCTTCCCAGATTTAAGAGTTTTGTCGTGTTTCTGTTTGTTCTCAGTGGCCCTGAGACCTGGGGGCCGTCAGGTCAGATGTTACGGATACTTGGGTGAGATCTCGACCCCCCGGCTGAGGACCCTGTCCTTCAGGGAGGACCCGTGTGCAGGGCGCTGTGGCAGTAACTGGTTGGCTGTGCTCCGCGCCTCGGGAGGAAGGTGCCGGGGGAGAGCGGAGCGCGGGGTCTGTGGCTCGGCCCCGAATGGCCGGCCCGTGGGTCCCAGCGACGGGGGGCCGACGGGGGCAGCCTGGAGGGGCCTGCTTGGAACTGAAGTCATCTGCCTGGAGAGGACACCGTGCTTCTCTCGACACCCTCCCCTCGCCCCCTAAAGAGGAATTCTTGGGGTCAGGCCTGCCCTTTGTGTCCCCGTGGGGGGCAGTCCTGGGCTCACTCAAAACCAGGCCCTTGGACTTCACACTGCGAACTGATAGCATCTCATGAAGGGAGTCAGTGTGGTTCACGTCACTGACGTAAACCTCGCTGTGTCTGAAATCCAAACGAGTCTACGATCTGCTGGGGTTTTCTAACTCATTTGGGCAGCAAAACTCTCGTCCTTACCCACCCACCAAGGGTGACCATCCCCAGAACGGGGCAGGGGGCGCCCACCGGCCAGGACCACGCCCTTCCCACAGTCGTGACGGAACCCCTGCTAGGCACGGCCGTCGATCGGACTCGGGTTTAGAAGACATCTGGTTTCTTTTTTAAAACCTCCTCTGGCAATCAGTCTACCCAACGTGCTTGTCGGCGTGTGGCCCCCTCTCCACGCCGGCGGGGGGCGCTTTCCAGGTTACCTGGCCGTCTGGACAGTGAGACGGGTTCGTGTTATGTAAAGCAAGGCTTTCTGGGGTTTTCCCCGTGGCAGAAGGTTCGTGGGAGACGTGTTGACGGGAAAGCGCTGGCACCGGGCTGCTCTGGCACCGGGCTGCTCTGTCTGGCTGTAAGTCGGGGCCAGGAGCGCGTGCTCTGTGCGCTGAGCCCTGGGCCCCTGTCTGGGGAGGAGGGGCGGGCGGTGGGTTAACCCGTTCTTTCCACCTGGTGAGCCAGCTGTTGAGTTTTCCTTTTCCTTCTAGGCTGAGGTGTTTCCTTACAAACCTGCAGGTGGCTTGGGCTGTCTGGGGACGGTGATGGCAAACGCGTCACCTGGTTTTACAGGACGGGGCTCAGGAGGCGGCCCCGGCTTGAGGAGGACCAGGGCCGAGGAGCGCCCTTCAGTCCTCTGCTCCTCCCATCTTGGTTGCTGGAAACGGGAGGCTAGTTCTGTCTCATGGAATCTGCGGGCTCAAAAGCCTATTAGCTGAAGGTTTTCTGCAGATTTACAGAAATTATAGCTCTTTTTTTAAATATTTTTATTTATTTCTAGGAGAGAGAGAGAGACAGCGCGAGCAGGGGAGGGTCAGAGAGAGAGGGAGTCACAGACTGAAACAGGCTCCAGGCTCCGAGCTGGCAGTCAGCACAGAGCCCGACGCGGGGCTCGAACCCACGAACCGCGAGGTCATGACCCGAGCGAAAGTCGGACGCTCGACCGACTAAGCCACCCAGGCGCCCTGAGAAATTATAGCTCTTTAAACATGACTCACTTAAAAGTCTTTCCTCTTTTTTATCTATTTATTTTACATAGAGAGAGGGTGAGCTGGGGAGGGGCAGAGGGAGAGAGAATCCCAGGCAGGCTCCACGCTCAGCACACAGCCCGACGCGGGGCTTGATCCCACGACCCTGGGATCATGACCTGAGCCGAAACCAAGAGCTGGACGCTCGATGGACTGAGCCCCCGGCGCCCAGAGCCTTTCCTCTCTGAGATCACGCTCACCAGTTGGGCGGCACGCAGACTTGGAACTCTCCGAGGGCCCCTCTCCCGTCTTCCGAACCTCGGAAAAGGCAAGAATAACGCCGTCACATCAGCAGCCGATCTTCTCGTTAAAAGCACGTGTCTCCACGCGGTTGTCAGGCGTCCTGGGAAAGGGGCCTCAGCCCAGGTCAGCCGCCGCCTGCGGCCGCGGGTGGAGGCCCGAGTGGCTTTCTCTCCAGGCTGGGCCCGCGTCAGAGCGGACCTAACACCCTGATAAACCCACGGACTTAACACCCTGATAAACCCGCATTAATCTGTCTGTTCATAGATTGGGACCCTTTTCCCCTTCGGAACAGAACCCCGTTTGCCACGGGGCACCTACTTCAGAGGAGCTGCCTCTTTCACAGTCTCTAAGCAAGAAAAGTCCTGCTCGGGGCAGAGACACGAAAGCCACCCAACCCCCGCTTTCCCGGCCGAGGCCGCACAGTGCTGTCCCGCCCGCCCTCTGGCGTCCCCGGCTGTGCTGGGCGGGGCGGCCCCTGCTCCCGATGGGCGAACGGCCCAGGATGCCGCTGTGACTTTTGGGGGTGTGCTGGGTTGTCCCCCCTGCTCTGATGATCTGCCCCGCCCCACCCCTGCCCCCTCCCCAGGTTCCGGGAAGGGCAGGCAAGGTGACCGGAACCACACCGTCTCTTCTCTGTGAGGTTTGACACTTAACTGTTTCTACATTTTAACTTCCTTCCAGTCAAACTACTCACCCACAAAGTGTCTAAAAGTAGTAGTAGGATTGCCCGAGCGCGCAGTTAAGCATGTGTCCCTGTGCCGCTGACGCGGGGGGTTGCTGCCCAGCGCGAGCAGGCCTGGCCCTTCCACACGTTTGCTGGGTTGGGTGATGTGCAAAGGACCTGCGGCCAGCGTGCTCCTGGACGGCGAGAGCTCACAGCCACAGCACCGCGCGTGGCCTCCCGCGGAGTGCCCGCTGCGTGACCCGTCCTCAGACCGTCCACACGCTGCTCCTGCAGAAGACTCGCCCGGGTTACCAGTTCAGTGTTCTAATCCCAAAAACATGCTCTCCTTCCGGCCCTCCGCCCTGCCCTGTGTTGTCACCTAGGGGCCGTGTTACCTGACCTGGCGGATGCGGACTGCTGCGGCTGTGGGTTTTGTGACTTGCCTGGGACTCTATTACCCGCCGTGGCGTGGAGAAATCCCAGCGCCGGAGGGCTGGTCTCGCCACTGGTTCGTCAGGTCTCCACAGGCACCCAGCGCGGGCTCCGCTGAGGGCCGACCTGTCCCCACCTACCGCAGCGTCTGACCGCAGCTCGCGGGACACGCGCAGAGGCCACCCAGGGGCATCGTGCCTGAGGTCACGGCCCGCTTGAGCAGGGGGCGCCCCGGCTCCCTCGGCTGGAGCCGCTGGGCCCCGAGACCCTGGTGAGGGTGGGCGTGGGTGGGCCCGCGTCGCCCGAGGGTCCGCCCAGAGTTTCCTTAGCAAAGTAGAGCCGGAATTCCTGACCCTGGAAAGGCACCGACCTGGGGACCCTGCTGCCTCTTCGTCACGCCCACCTGGCTGTGCAGGACGGCGGTTCGCGACTCCAAGCCCTCGGGCGGTTGGGATCCCACCTCCTCCTACGTGCTTGCCGTCAGGCTCAGTCGGGGAAATGCTTTCGTCTGTTAAGGCACAAACTGGGAAAACCAAAATACATCTTTCCTGCAGCAAAACGCCGGGAGAGCTCTCCGGTGTGGGTGCTCACGACATCTAGAAAATACCTCGGGGTTCGTGGTCTTTGCCAGATGGTTTCCGCTGGCAGTCGGGATGTTTGCCTCTCCAACAGCGAGTTGTTGACCGAGTGATGCTGGAAGTCAGGTTCGGAAGGCGCGCCGTGCCGTTGAGAAGACAGGTGGACGCCTTGAACATGACTGTGCTACTGGAAGAAGCGGACTTGGCCAAAGCACAGCATCCGATTTCCCTCTGGGTCTTTAATTTAAAAAAAGCAAAAAACAAAAAACTGCGTAGAATGAGGTCTCTAATAAAGCCGCCCACGATGGACTGGCTCTGAGTTGACACAGAACCGATTTAACAGGTGCCTAAAAATGCAGGTCAGCGTGACCTCTGGGGGCAGCACGGGTCCCTGCCCGGGATTGGGGCCCTGGCTTCCTTGCACATGGCTCAGAACAGTTCCAAGCAAGAAGTTACTAATTTCAGAGTCTGGGGCACCTTCTGAGAGGTCATCAAACGCCCCCACGTGAAGACCCCCGTGGGATGTCGCAGTTGGTGCGGCCCCTGAGGGTCTCTGGCTCGTCACCGTGCAAAGTAGGGTCAACAAGGCAGGGAGCGTTACTCTGGGTTAAAGATTAAGCGCGGTTTTTACAGGTTTAATGTGCTTTTATTCCTCTGTGAGTCACAGAACTGGCTCTGAAGTCAAATTCCAAAGAGGATTTTAGAAAATATTTTGGGCTCTTGGCTGTTCTGGAATACGTGTTCAGACCTCCAGAGAGACCTCAATAGAAAGCAGCTCCGAACTTGTACATCATAGTAGGTTTGTGTAGAATCAGCCTTCTGGATTTAGTAACGTCTTCCTTGCAAGCGAAAGACGGCTTAAAGCGACGGTCAGGGATCTTCGCGTGCGCCTTGAGCTCGGATCCTGCCCGTCCCTTCCTGTGGCCGCGGGCTCTCCCGTAGGCAGCTCCACTGCGTGAAATAAACAGTCTTCGGAGAATGTTCTACGTTTCCAAATACGTGTTGTCTTGTCGGAGGATTTCCCACGTTCCTGCGCGAGGAGCAGAGGATCGACACGTGTTACTGAGCTGTGTTTAGTGTGGAGCAGCAGGGACAGAGGTGGAGGGGACTTTTGCGTTCCCCGCAGAGGTGTCTGTGGGCCAGGAACGGTAGGAAGGGCTGGTCTGGGCAGCACGAGTTGTCAGAACATTCTAGGGGTCGGTGCTGACAGCCCTCGGCAAGCTGGGGACACTCCCCCGGCCTCCGCATCCTCGCGTCCGGGGCCCCCTTCCCCTGGGTGTCCCTGGTGCCCTCACGACCGCGGGAGCCGAAGTGACTCCTCCAGCGGCCGGAGGAGGGGGGGGTTCGCTTTCCGGTTTTGCCGAGTGGTTAGCGCGTGTCACCCTGCTGTGCCCGGACGGCCCTGCCTCACACCCGCCGTTCTGGCCTCGTCAGTGATATTTTCCCTCATCGTCAGACCCGCAGGGGTTTGGGGGTGGAACGTGGTGCAGGCGTTGGGTCGGCTCAGCGCGGTGGCTACGTGCCGTGTGCCTACGTCCCGAGAGCCGAACTCGGAGAGTCGGCACCGCCACGGGCCGTCGAGCTCCGTTGCCGTATCTGAGGAACGGCGCGTCGTGCTGGCGTGCGGTGACGGGGCTGGAGTTGTCAGGAGAGCCGGGGGGCTCGCGGGGCTGGGGGAGGCGGCCCTGACCGGAGGCCCCGCTGCGCCCCCTGCCTACCCTCGGCCTGTCGTCCGTCCGTCCGCCTGCCGTCCAGCTGTCCTCCTCTCTGCCTCTTTTCTCTGTGCTGCGCGAGGGCCCTGGGCGCCCCTCAGAGGCCAGCAGGCCTGCCCGTGCGTCCGGCCCCGGGCAGCGTGTGTGGTCGGTGGCTCCCACACCGGGCGCTGCGGAGCTCACGCTTCTCAGGAGCCCCCCCTTCCAGAGGCCGGGCCTGGCTCCCGTCACACCCCGCTTACCACCTCCCCTCCCCAGTGACACCCTCAGCGGCTCCATACCTTATATGGACGGGCTGAAACCGCACACCCTGTGGGCTTTGTCGCTGCCCCGTGAGGACGTGGGCCTGTCCGGGGCGGGGCGGGGGGTGCGGGGAGCCTGAGCCCGAGGGTCACGTCCTTGGTACTGGGGCGCGGGGAGGCCGCCAGCTCCAGGAGGAGCCTGCTCCCGGCTTCTCTACTTGAGTCCATTCCATCTGTCCCTCTGCCGTTCGTCACACAGAACACCAGACTGTGACAAGCATACGGGTGTGTGTGCATTTACGTGTTCACGTACTGTGTGGTGTAACATACTATGCAACTGTAATACGTATGTACAGCATGTGTTTCGTGTAATATATAGCTTATGTATTTGCTATATTTATAATTGTAATTATATTGATATTTTGTATGCATATATGGTTATATATGATATACAGTAAATGTATGGTTATGTATTATAGACAATCTATTACATGTTATATGGTTACATATTACATACAATATAGTACACGTTACATACAACGTAAATCTATACAACATATAAAAAATGTATACAGACACAGGTGTGTGTTGATAGCCTGGGGTTATGTGTGTGACAAATAGGAAAGAGAGAGGTGGTCTGGAGTGAAATAGAACAGAGAGAGGTTGAGAGCAGGTTCCTTCTGTATGATTTATAGAAGTCTATATATATGTATTCTCAGCATGTAATATAGCAATAATTTATATATGTTTCATGATCTAAAAAGAACATAGTAATGGATTGTGTGTCACTGTACAGTATGATACGTTAATGTGTTATGTATCATGACACAGTGTATTAACACAGTATAGTACCTCACATCAGAGCATATTTTTGACAGGAATCTGCACTCGTAAGCACGGGTTCACGCACTGATGGCCTGTGAAGGCCCCCGCACTATTGATGAACTTTTACACACAGTCCCCTACTCAGTGGGCCATTTTGTTTTGAAACATCCTAATTATTTTCTTTCCTCTTGACCTTCATTAGGGTAGGAGATACGAATCCACCTTAACAATCTATTATGGTCAACTTTCTAAGTGGTTAGTGCCTAGTCCTTTCTAAGGTTAAATGTCCTGGAGAGAGAGCCCGGGCAGCACAGATGCAAATGGTGTTTCCGTCTTCCTTGATCCTGAGCGGTCTGTGGGGAAAAGCGAGATGCGCTTAGAGCCCAAGGCCCTGGTCCTTGGGCTTCCCCGTGGAGAGCGCCCTGACACCCCACTCACTCACCTCCCCCCGTGCGAGTCAGACGCAGCTAACCACAGGGTAAGGCGACGGGTGGCGCAGTGACACCCGGCCGTGCTTTTCAGAAGTGCAACACAGTACGGTGTGTCTCTCGAGAGTGGCGTGGATGGTGGCCCAGGGAAACTGAGGCCCAGACAGAAATGCTTTCTTGTATGCGGTGTGATTGACGCCACTGTTTGGGTTTGTTACATCACGATCAGTTTTAGGGTGAGCGTCTCCCCTTTCAGCCTGTGGGGAGCTGTTAGGTGGCAGGCAAACTGTCTTATTCCCCCCACTCTGGACGAGTCTGGCGAGAGATTCCCATCGTTGGAGATGAGGTTGCGGAGGCTTTTCTGCACGTGTCCTTCCTAGAGCCGGCACTGGCCGTGCTCTGCTCCTAACCGCTGGGCCTCTAGGGGCTCCACCTCCCCGGTCCTTCCATTCACTTTGTACAGAACTTACAGATGGATGTGACGTCTCTGTAGAGTTCAGTCCGGTTTTCTCACCAGGATTTCCATTCTCTCCCCCAGGGCTACCAAGGCATGGTCGATGGCGGCAGTAACATCGTCGAGGCCGACTGGGAAAGCGTCTCCAGCATTCTGCAAGTGGTATGTGCCGCCTCAGCGCTCCCTGGGTCTTTGAACTAAGTCGCTCCTGTCTTTAGTTGGGAACCTTCGACCCTTAGGCTCCGGTCAGTACTTAAAACGGATTAACGTGCTGGCAGGCATTCGCCTTGCCCGCTTACACCGTAAGAAAACATCCTTAATTTGTCGTTTAATTAAAATTTTTAAACAGCTTTACATCATGCAAACAGAGGATTTTTCTTGCACCAAAAAGTTACGCATGAAGGCTGGTGTTCACTTGTGGACCTTGGCGTGGATTCCGGGTTTGTTTTTGTTTTGTTAAGACCGGATTAATGTTGTGGCAGCTTCGGCCAGTAGGTGCTGTGTTTGATGGCAAATATCCGCGCCTGTTGGGTTTTCGAGAGTCACCAAGCCTGGGAACAATCCCCAGTGGCCGCGTCCGAGGGCTGTAGGGTTCAGTGGGAACGCGGCCTCCCTGTTCTGGGCTGAGCCGATGGGGCTGGCTGCTCTGGGGTGCAGAATTTACTAACTTAGAACTTAAATGAGACCTGCCTGGAGAGTTCACGCCTGGTAAATTCCCCAAACACGGTAGCTCAGCGAAGGCCCCAAATCAGTGGACAGATGGGTTACAGGGAAAGAGTGGATTTCACAGGGGCGCCTGGGTGGCTCAGTCGGTTAAGCCTTCAACTTCAGCTCAGGTCATGAACTCGCAGTTCGTGAGTTCGAGCTCCGCGTCGGGCTCTGTGCTGACAGCTCAGAGCCTGGAGCTGCTTCAGATTCTGTGTCTCCCTCTCTCTCTGACCCTCCCCTGCTCACACTCTGTCTCTAGCTCTCTCTCAAAAATAAATAAACTTAGGGGCGCCTGGGTGGCTTAGTCGGTTAAGCGTCCGACTTTCGCTTAGGTCACGATCTCGCGGTTCGTGGGTTCGAGCCCCGCGTCGGGCTCTGTGCTGACTGCCAGCTCGGAGCCTGGAGCCTGTTTCAGTCTGTGACTTCCTCTCTCTCTGACCCTCCCCTGCTCACGCTGTCTCTCTCTCTCTCCTAGAAATAAATAAAAATATTTAAAAAAAATTAAAACAAACTAAACTTAAAAAAAAAAAAGAATGGATTTCACAAAAAAGTTGTTTACAGGTGGTTTTGACCTGTTGAAATGTATGTATTAATGTGTAGCCCACGCTGAGCATTTTTTAGTAAAAAGGAACCAAAGTGATACATTGTCGCTGAAGGTGCTTGTGCGCCAGAGGACGGGTGACATGAGTGTGGTGTGTGAGCGTAAAAGGAATATATTCAGCTGTGAGGAAAGCGGGAGATCCAGACAGATTCCGTACGGTCTCACGTACAGGTGAGATCTAAAACAGCTGAACTCCCAGAGACAGAGCAGAGCAGTGGCCGCCCAGGGCTGGGGGTGGGGGAAACGAGACCCTGGCCCAAGGGTGCAGACTCCCAGCTTGGAGATGAGTGCGAGGGGATGGAGGTGTTGATGAACTTGATTATGGTGATCATTTCCCAGCGTAGATGTGTGTTAAGTCATCACGTCACATGCCTTACGAGATCTTAACGACGCTGTATGATATGATATTGAAAGTTGCTAAGAGTAGATGTTAAACGTTCTCACCACAAAGCGAATTCTATGAATGGAGAAGTGGATCAGTGAACCTTACCGTGGCGATCCCTTCATAATATGTGTGTGTATCCGCACCTCGTGCGCCGAAACGTCCATAGTCTCTAGGTCAGTTATACCTCCGTGGCCCCGGGTGGAGGGAGGATCGCGGGTGGCTGTTTTAACGCTGGTTACAGACTCGTACGTCCTGTCCTCTACCCCCCGGAAAGGGGCTGCAGGGATTTTACAGCCATCAGCATTTAGAACACTATTTGCAAAAACCGAGGACAGCATCTTCTGAATTCCAGACAGCAACCCCACATGTGAAAAGGCATTTCCGCTCTGGCGCCACGATCGCCCAGGAAGAGAAGAAGTCTGGGTGGTGGGGGGGAGGGAGCCTTGCTCGCAGTCCCCGGTGTGGCGCCGCCCCTGAGGCCCCGTGCACATGAGCCCCTCGGTGTTTGTGGCTGTGCCCACTTAACCTGCTGTTGTGAGGAATCACGGGACCCTCTATCGCTCTCGGTCCCTCCAGGTGCCCAGCCCCCTTTGCCCTGTGCTCAGCCCTCCCGCGCGGGCTCAGCTTTGCTGGGACAAGCCCTTAGCCCTGCTAACACCCTGCGTTCACCCGGGCTCCCTTGGGGTGCGAGGCACCCTGCCTTATGAAGCGAGAATGCACTTGAACAACTGTGTGCAGATGGAGGTTTGTGATTATGTAGAGGAGTCCCGCTTTCTTTTATTTTTAAAAATTTTCATAATGTGTATTTTTTTTAATTTATTTATTTATTTTTTTTTTTTACAAATAGTTTATTGTCAAATTAGTTTCTACATAACACTCAGTGCTCATCCCCAAAGTGCCCTCCTTCATGCCCATCCCCCCCTCC